GCGAGCCACACCTTCTTGATGTAGAAAGTGAGGAATATGAAGACGCTGTGGAGCAGGGGCAGCAGGGGGCAGTAGAAGAGGCCCATCCAGATGACCGTCTGCCCCGCCACGATGTCCAGCACGTTCGTGGGCACGAGGAACTCCTCCCGGCCCAGCCAGGTCCAGAACCGGCCTGAGAACCGCTCCACCAGCATCCTGGGCACAGGGCGTGCCCAGCATCATCACGGGAGGAGCGTGTGGACCACGTCCATCACGGTCACGGCCACGGACCATCCCACACTCAGCCACAGGGACACACACGTGCAGAACTGCTCACCCCCGGCTGCAGCCACTGGCCACCCCCAGACATGCCCAGGCCCCCCACCCCCACCCCATGGTGTCCCCACGAGGCTCACCTCCTAGGCAGGCTGACCAGGAAGGCGAAGGCCACGGTGAGCAGGAAGTTGAAGATGCTCAGCTTGTACAGCTCCTCAGCCACCGAGTTCTCCCAGCACTGGGCAGAATGATTCCGGTCACCACCCCCGGGCCCAGCCACCACTCACCCACCCGTGGGGGGGGGCGTATCTCCGTGGACAGGAGCCTTGCCTGGAGCCTGATAGGATCGCTAAGGTCAAGCCCCGGCCCCAGGGATACGACTCACGCAGGGAAAACCGCCCGCCAGGGCTGCCACCCTGCACTGTGCCGTGTGGCGCAAACAGCACCCCCTGGAGGTGTGCCCAGGTATGGGGAGCTCTCCCCCCAGCCTCTCGCAAAGGTGAGACCTGGAGAGGAACCAGGAGGTGAAAGGGGCAGGGAGGTCACAGAGGTGGGGAGACGCCCAAAGGGACAGGCCCCGCCGGAGCCCCGTCACCTGGTAGTCACAGGCGTTGTAGCCGTGGGACTCACAGCTGGTCTTGTTGCGGCCGAGGCACAGCATGGTCTGGCCCAGCGAGAAGGAGAACATGCCCAGGCTGGCCAGCTTCAGCACCACGCACCTGCGGGCCAGGGTGTGGGTGTGGCTGCTACCTCCTGGGCCCAGCCCCTTCCCGCCTGCCCCCGCCGTGGCCACGGTCCCCAGAGTGCGTTCCCCAGCACTTGGGTCTCCGGATGATTCACGGGAGAAGGGTTCTGTTTGTCAATCAAGTTGGGAAACTGCACAGCCCGGCCGTCCTTCCCCGACCCCCAGCTCGGAGAGGCACAGGCCCCATGGGCCGTCACCGTCCTTATTTATTGCAGGTGAGAGCGTCCCTCCGCCGGCGCCGGTTAACACCCGCCCACTCCACTGCCTTGTGTACCCACACACGTGCGTGCAGCCGCCTGAGCCGTTGTACACGCACACTGGGCCTCACAGGGAGACGGCCAGCCCAGGCCACCCCCGGTGCGTTAGGCTAAGTGAGGGCTCTGCAGGCTGGGAACAGCGGTTCTTCTGCTGAGGGAGGCTCGGAGGAGGGGG